TCGATTCGGGGAACTCTCCAGTTTCGACTTCGGGGAGCTCCCCAGTGAGCCTTCTCGCACAGACACTGTGCAAGGTCAGGAAGGACGAGGAACAGGTCCTGCTGGTTGCACCATACTGGCCCACCCGGACCTGGTTTTCGGAACTCAGGCTCCTTGTGACAGCCCCTCCCTGGCGCATCCCTCTGAGGAAGGATCTCCTTTCTCAGGGGCTCGGTACCTTGGCACCCGCCTCCAGATTACGGGATGTGGCATACCTAAGTGTTCTTCCACCGGTGGTGGAAGTCACTATCACTCAGGCCAGAGCCCTCTCTACGAGGTGAGCTTTTTGCCTTGAAATGGAGTCTGTTCACAATCTGCGGTTCTTCTCACCGAGAAAACCCCCGAAGATGCACGATTGGAGTAGTGCTTTCTTTCCTGCAAGAAGGGTTGGAGCGTAGGCTGTCACCCTCCACCTTGAAAGTGTATGTGGCTGCTATCGCAGCACATCACGATGCAGTGGACGGCCGGTCCCTGGGAAAGCACAATCTCATCGTCAGGTTCCTGAGGGGGTGCCAGAAGGTTACATCCTCCTGGGCCTCCCCTGGTGCCCTCCTGGGATCTCTCTATCGTCCGGGCTGGACTTCAGAGGGGTCCCTTTGGGCTGCTGGATTCAGTCGAGCTTAAATTCCTGTCTGCTAAGACAGCGCTCCTGCCCGTGCTCACTTCTATCAAGAGGGTCGGGGACCTCCAAGCATTTTCGGTAAGTGAAGAGTGCCTTGTGTTCGGGCCGGCTTACTCTCACTTTATCCTGAGACCCCGGCCTGGATACGTGCCCAAGGTTCCCACCACTCCCTTCCGAGATCAGGTGGTGAACCTGCAAGCGCTGCCCCCGGAGGAGGCAGATCCAGCCTTGGCATTGCTGTGTCCCGTAAGAGCGTTACGCATATATGTGGACCGCACCCAGAGCTTCAGAAGCTCTGAGCAGCTCCTTGTCTGCTTTGGAGGTCAGCAGAAAGGGAAGGCTGTCTCCAAGCAGAGGTTGGCCCACTGGATAGTGGATGCCATCGCCTTGGC